GAAATTCGTGCCGGCCTATGAGTTGATTACTGCCATAGATGAGGTTCAAGATCAGAATCCCTGGTATTACGACATCTGGAACTTCTTAGAAAAAGTGGCATATCCATTAGGGGCAAATGCCAAAGATAAGAGGGCAATTCGAAGAATGGCTGCTCAGTTCATCGTTTGCGGGGGTAAACTGTACAAGAGGGGTCATCTCAGGATGCACAAACTATGTGTTGACGCTGAAGAATCCAAGCGCCTAATGGAGGCTATCCGTGGAGGAGAGTGAGGAGCGCACATGAGTGGGGTGATGCTAACCCGGATGATCCTTAGACAGGGTTATTACTGGTCAACCATGGAGGAGGATTGTATTGGCTTTGTTCGGCAATGCCACAAATGTCAGATCCATGCAAACCGCATGAACATTCCGCCGTCAAAGCTGTACAATATGACTTCGCCATGGCCTTTTTCAGTCTAGGGGATTGATGTGATTGGGGCTGTCACTCCAAAGGGGTCCAATAGGCATGAGTACATTCTGGTAGCGATAAACTACTTTACGAAGTGGGTTGAGGCCTAATCTTACTCGGTGTTGAAGGCATCGCATGTCGCTAAATTCATCAGAAACAACATCATCTGTCGCTACGGGGTCCCGAATGAGATTATTTCGGATAATGGTTCCCACTTCAAGAAGGAGGTGATCGACTTGTTGGAGAAGTACAACATAGCTTTTCATAAGTCATCTACATATCGGCCGCAAATCAACGGAGCTGTTGAGGCCGCCAACAAGAACATCAAGCACATTCTGCAGAAGATGGTGGAAATCTACAGAGACTGGCCAAATAGCTTCCATTTGCTTTTTGGGGCTACCGGACTTCAATTCGAACTTCTACTGGGGCAACTCTGTATTCCTTGGTTTATGAGATGGAGGCTATTTTGCCTATCGAAGTTGAGGTTCTGTCATTATAGGTATTGGCTAAGTGTCAGATAGCTGAGGCAGAATGGCAGCAAAGCAGGTTTGAAGAACTCATGCTCTTTGATGAAAGAAGGTTGAAAGCACTGTATCATGTCCAGGGTTATCAACGAAGAATCGCCAGGGCTTTCAACAAGAAGGTTAAGTCCAGGAATTTGAAAGAGGGCGATCTAGTGCTCAAAGACAACCGAGCTCCCATCCACGACCCTAGGGGACCTACTTCTTATCGAAAAGCTTCTTCTAACCCTCTTTGGCAAAGAGTTATAACTGATGAACTGCAGGCTTTCGATTAAACTCATACCTGGGGATGTGGTTGATCTTCCTCCTAGAAAGCATACTGTTAGTTGCAAATGGGTTTACAAAATCAAAACTCATTTTGATGGTTCCATTGAGTGTTACAAAGCTCGCCTTGTCGCCCGGGTAATTAGTCAAGAATATGGAATTGACTATAAGGAAACATTTGCTCCTATTGCCCGTCTTACTTTAGTTTGCAGCTTACTTGCCATTATTGTTGTTCGCCACTGGAGTCTTTATTAGATCGATGTCAAGAATGCTTTTTCAATGGTGATCTCACTGAGGAAGTTTATATGCAACCCTTTCCTGGTTCTTCTGTTCCATCAAACAAGGTTTGCAAACTCCACCGAGCTTTGTATGGCTTGAAACAAGCTCCGTGTGCCCAGTTTGCCAAGTTTAGCTCTACCATTCGTGGCTTTGGTTTTTTTTCCAGTGCCCATGATTCTTCCTTGTTTATCCGTAAGACGAAGTGCTGTACTATTCTCTTTCTCCTCTATGTGGATGATATGATTATCACTGGAGATGACACAATAGATATTTCTAGTCTCAAACAATTTCTCCATCGCCAGTTTGACATGAAAGATTTGGGTTCGCTTAGCTACTTTCTTGGCTTGGAAATTTCTCAAGATTCCTCTGGTTATTTTCTTACCCAGGCCAAATATACTTCTGATCTTTTGGCTCGTGCTAGCCTTATCAATTGCAAGACTGTCACTACACCGGTTGATCCTCAGACTCATCTTACACCTCTTGACGGTCCCTTATTGTTTGATGCCACTTTATATCGTCAGCTAGTTGGCACTCTTGTCTATCTCACAGTTACTCGTCTAAATATTGCTTATGATGTTCACATTGTCAGTCAATTTATGACTGCTCCTAGCTCTCCACACTATGCTGCTCTGGTTCGCATTTTGCGCTATCTGAAAGGAACTCTGTTTCATGGTCTTCACTACTCCCCTCACTCTTCTCTATAGCTGCATGCCTTTTCTAATGTCGATTGGGCAGGGGATCCTACTGATCATCGTTCCACTACTGGATTCTATTTCTTCTTGGGCAACTCTCTTATTTCCTGGCGTAGCAAGAAGCAAACCCTTGTTGCTCGTTCTAGTACCAAGGCTGAGTATCGTGCTCTTGCTGACACTACTCAGGAGCTTGTGTGGCTTCGTTGACTTCTTTCTGACATGAGTGTTTCTCATTCTGTTGCCACCAATCTTTATTGTGACAATCAGAGTGCTATTCAAATTGCAAATAATGATGTCTTTTATGATCGCACCAAGCATATTGAGATTGATTGCCACTTCATACGACAACATGTTACTAGTGGTCATGTTCGTCTTTTCTTTGTTACCTCTGCTGATTAGACCGCCAACCTCTTCACCAAAGCTCATCTTCCAGGACATTTCTCTGATCTTCTCTCCAAGTTAAAGTTGATATCTGACTTACCACCTTGAGCTTGAGAGAGAGAGAGAGAGAGATGGGGGTGTTAGATATATATGATTATTTTAATACTTATCTATCTGTATTATAGATGTATCTCATCTCCTTTTCTATACTTATCTCTGATGTATCTCTATCTTCTTTTCTCAGCCTATAAATACAGACTTATTGTATTTTATTATTAAATTCAATATATAGTTTCTCTTCTCTCTCTACTTTCATAACAACGTGAATTAATTTGCTTTTAAGATTCTGCTTCTGATTTTTGCTTTTGGGGTGTCTTCTTTGGAAGGTTATTAATAAGTTGATGATTCTTTATGTGCTTTTGGTTGCATCGTATGAAAACTATACTTGGCTTGGATCCATCATGTACTGAGTTTAGACTTGATATATGCTCTATTCATCATAAAAGGTCCTGATTTCAGTGTTGGGGTCTGGTTCTGCTTGGGATTTGTTTAGTGTCTTGCCAACGGTTTGTTGTTCCTTTTGGTGGTTGAATATGATTGGGCCAGTCTCATTAGGTGCCAATTTTATTGGGACACCAGTTCACTTGTTATGCTGCAGTTGTCTTGCCAACGAGATACAAATGGTCTCACAAATCACCCTTTGGTGAATTTTAAATAATCACAAATAATCAAGAGGAAAGACCTTACCAAATAGATGAATAAAAATAGCAGAAACAGTCCTCCGAAACTGAAGCAAATAGAGCGTTGAAACTAAAACAACAGCAACAAATCAAGCAAGAACCTTGGACCAATCTCAGCCACCAAAGTGAATACAAAACTGCTCCTCGTTCTCCACACTATGCTGCTCTGGTTCGCATTTTGCGCTATCTGAAAGGAACTCTGTTTCATGGTCTTCACTACTCCCCTCACTCTTCTCTATAGCTGCATGCCTTTTCTAATGTCGATTGGGCAGGGGATCCTACTGATCATCGTTCCACTACTGGATTCTATTTCTTCTTGGGCAACTCTCTTATTTCCTGGCGTAGCAAGAAGCAAACCCTTGTTGCTCATTCTAGTACCAAGGCTAAGTATCGTGCTCTTGCTGACACTACTCAGGAGCTTGTGTGGCTTCGTTGAATTCTTTCTGACATCGGTGTTTCTCATTCTGTTGCCACTAATCTTTATTGTGACAATCAAAGTGCTATTCAAATTGCAAATAATGATGTCTTTTATGATCGCACCAAGCATATTGAGATTGATTGCCACTTCATACGACAACATGTTACTAGTGGTCATGTTCGTCTTTTCTTTGTTACCTCTGCTGATCAGACCGCCAACCTCTTCACCAAAGCTCATCTTCTAGGATGTTTCTCTAATCTTCTCTCCAAGTTAAAGTTGATATCTGACTTACCACCTTGAGCTTGAGAGAGAGAGAGAGATGGGGGGGTTAGATCTATATGATTATTTTAATACTTATCTATCTGTATTATCGATGTATCTCATCTCCTTTTCTATGCTTATCTCTAATGTATCTCTATCTTCTTTTCTCGGCCTATAAATACAGGCTTATTGTATTTTATTATTAAATTCAATATATAGTTTCTCTTCTCTCTCTACTTTCATAACAACGTGAATTAATTTGCTTTTAAGATTCTACTTCTGATTTTTGCTTTTGGGGTGTCTTCTTTGGAAGGTTATTAATAAGTTGATGATTCTTTATGTGCTTTTGGTTGCATCGTATGAAAACTATACTTGGCTTGGATCCATCATGTACTGAGTTTAGACTTGATATATGCTCTATTCATCATAAAAGGTCCTGATTTCAGTGTTGGGGTCTGGTTCTGCTTGGGATTTGTTTGGTGTCTCACCAACGGTTTGTTGTTCCTTTTGGTGGTTGAATATGATTGGGCCAGTCTCATTAGGTGCCAATTTTATTGAGACACCGGTTCACTTATTATGCTGCAGTTGTTGGTTTCACATGGGGGTTGGTTTTTCTGTGTCTGTTTTTCTTTCTCGTGTTCTGTTGTAATATTGGTGTTAGGAGGAGGTGGAGTTTTTGGGTTTTCTCTTCTTCAGCAGAAAATGAACAACAATTCTTTAACTATTGCTTTTTGTGTACTCTCCTGATGAATTTGTGGAATCTAATCCAAGTGATTCTCACAAATAGAAACTTGTCAATATCTTGAATAAGGATTATTTTATTTGTCTCCCAAAATAGTTATATTAGGAGTTTGTACTTTGTGGTTGGTTGATTGTACAGTTATACTGTACAATGTAATCATCTATAAATGTAAACCATGTCCATATTAATCCCAGCATCATCATAATAGTTAAAGTCTTTATATCATCAAACTTTGTTGTTTAGTTTTTAAACAATGGTGGTGCTTTTGTCGAACAGGCCAATTGGTCAATCCTTGCCTAATAGCTATGTACTCCCACCAGATAGAAGACCAGGGATAGTTAATGTTCCTATTGGCAAAGACATTCCAGTCATTGATTTTCAAAGCATTGCTGATCCTGATGATCGCGTTGAGATTGTTCAGCAAATCTTAAAAGCATGCCAGGAATTTGGATTGTTTCAGGTTCGTACTTCCATTTTCTTATATCACCTAGTTATTTATATTTTTATTTTTAGATTGTGCTTGTTTTGCAGTAAAATATTTCTTAGCAAATTACATCGGTAGTCCAGGCATTTTGTCCCTTGTGTCATTTTTTTTCCTTATAATTTCAATTATCTCGATTTTTATCCTAAATTTTGGATTTTGTGTTAATTTCATCTAATTGATAACATCGATTAGAGTTTTTAAAGGAAATTGGTCACTGAATTAGTTGAGTTTAACTTATTGAGTTGAATAAATTTATAATTTTGCCTATAAAAACTTAACACGTGTTGGTTATATATATGCTCAAAAAAAAAAAAAAAACTAACAATTATAATCAATCGGACCAAATTGAGACAAAATCACAAATTCATAGTCATAATTGAGCTAATTGAAATTACATGGACCAAAATGATACAAGGGCCAAAATATGGAGACTACCGATGTAATTTGCCTAATATTTTTCATGTAAAATGATTTGACTCAAAAATATATTTTAATTTTGTTCACTATAGGGTTATTTACATGAAAGTCCCCTAAACTATTAAGAAGTACAGTTTGACGCTCTAAATATAAAAATGTACAAATAGACACTTTGCCCTCTTTAAACTATAAAGTATACAATTTGGACCTCCTAACGATGCTCACGAAACAAAGTAAACTATAAAGTAAACTAAAGGACCTCCTAATTTGGACCTCCTAACTATAAAGTAAACTAAACAATGTGATTAAATCAACAGTATTAATTGTTATTGGACATGGTGGAATGGAAAATAGGTGATCAACCATGGAGTCTCAAGAACGTTAATAGATGAGGCAATGAGTGTGTTGAATGAGTTTTTCTGCACAACACCAACTGAGTACAAAGCGTAGTTTGTGACGGATGCTTGTGATAAAAGCTGTATTTTGTTCACAAGTGATTTGAAAAATATTGATAACGAAGATGGAGTTCATTATTTTGGAGGGATTGTTTTATCCATCACTGTAGTCCATTAGAGGAACACATCAAGAATTGGCCAGAAAACCCAACCAGATATTAGTAAACTACTCTCTAATCTCATATAATTTCTTCATTTGGCCATATCTAAACTATCCCTTTTTGTTATTTTTGTGTGCTCTTCGTTCCCAACTTATTATGTGTGCAAGTGATTATCCTCAAATCATGGGTATTTTTTAAACAAAAAGGACAAATTATGCGAGTACTTACAATATTTTACCTCGTGTCATTTTAGTTGTGGCATTTTCTATCGGCTCAATTTTAACTTAAATTTAATGTTGTCTTATTTTGAACCAATAGATAAAATCTGTTAGGATTTTTTTTGAAGAAAAAAAAAAAGAGCAATATGTGACCATTGAGGCCCTAAGAAATGGTCAAACGATGCTCACGTGTTTTTTTCATCAAAAATCCTAATTAGCATTATTAATTAACCTAAATTGAGATAAAATTAAAAATTGATAGTCAAAATGAAACCGATTGAAATTATAATAACTAAAATGACACAATTGGACAAAGGCAAGGACTAATAGCACAATTTTTCCAAAAAAAAATTATAGCTCACTCAAAATCAAATCAACACTTTACAAATAGAAATATTGCGATCAAAATGACAACAAAAATATCGTTTAGTAACCAAATGCTTTTTTAACCTTTGTTTTTTTCTAAGCATAATTTTTTTGTTTGCAATTTGTCCTTGATTCCGACAATGAATACTCAGCGCATTGACCATGTGGATCACTTTAATACATATTTAATACTTTGGCGACAAAACTGAAGCAATTAAAATATTAGGGACCAAATATGACACAAAGCACATAGTTTAGAGACCAAAAGTGCAATTAGCTTTAAAAAAAAAATTACTAAAAATTGAAATATATATATATATATATAACCCAAAAATATAATTTTGCTTTGTGTAACTAATTTGCAGAGAAGTTGTTGGGATATATTCTGTTGAAGTGAGGAAGTTTCTGCTGATGATTTTGAATCTATTATGCGAAGGATTGGGAATAGAACAAGGGCATTTTGAAGGAAATCTTAGCAAAACACAACTATTATATGTAAATCACCACATTCCATGTCTAGACCCAAGTACGACCTTGGGACATTTTGAACACTATGATAGCAATCTCATAACCACTCTTTATCAGTGTGATGTGTCTAGTTTGTTGGACAATCTTTACTGTATTAAGAATAAATAATGTTTGTATAATTAACAACAAATAAAAGAAATAAAGAAATGAGAGAAGCTATTTGATTACAAAAATCAAACCAGAATATAAAATAAATAAATAAAAACAAATTTTTATTTTGTTACAAAAACAAAATCAAAATTTGAAACAAAAATAATAATAAAACAAAAAAGTAATTAATTTGTCGAGCAAATTTTTGATCAAATCCAGTGTTTAATACTGTGTCCTTAAGACAGATTCATCCTCTCCACGGTACTTTCAGATTGCAGACGTCTATCTCCCAGGATAAAATGATCAATAACGAATAATATTAGCACTACAAATTATTCGCACAACGAACATAACGAACACACTTTGTGTTCATTTCACTTCTCACAGAAAATTAATGCAGTAAAATGCAGAGATTAATGGCAACAGAGAAGAACTGAAATTGAATGAAAAAATCAAATGAGGGACTGCCTATTTATAGATGAAAATAGTGGCTATTCGGTTTGAATCCAACAGGTATGGTGCTTGTTCGGACAGATCTGGTTTGAATTTCAAACAGATAAAAAACTGTTTTGGGTTTGAATTTGAATAGATTCAGATCAGTTTGGACAAATATGGAACTGTACACAAATTCTGAAGAGGTGCAAACCAAAATTTGAATTTTATTTCCAATTAGAATTTGAAATAAAAACAGACAAATTTTATTTCCAAACAAATAATAAAAATAAAATTCAAATGTAATGTTTTTGGCCCAAAAAGATAAGTATCGGGCCGGACAAGCCCAACCCAACTTCACATCATGCACCCGCGCCGGACGACGTGCAAGCATGTGTTTATTTTTGGGTCTAATGGGTACTTTGCCCATAACCTCTCCTTTCTACAAACTTGGGGTGCCCCTTAGGGCCCTCCCCGAGTTGCAAATTCAAGCCTTATAAACCCATAAAAGTTTTCCCACCAAACCAATGTGGGAACAAGCCTTTAATTCAAATCTTAAGGAATTTCCACCAAAAACTCCATTTCTATGGAGCTCACTTTGATTTCAATTTTCCATTTACCCAATAATGGTTTTGAGCAACCAAATATATTACGTGAATCACAACGCGACATAGAATGCGTTATCACTTAGACCTGCCAACTTTGGCGCATGGATCCCACCTAAAAATTAGATCAAAGTTAAGGAAAAATCTATTTTTCCAAAACCATTTCTTACATGGACTTCAAGCCCTCAAGGATGGCCAATAGATTGGTGTCCAACCCATTCCTCATGTATTTGTAATCATGCTTGGTGTTCAATTCAAGGGACACTACTCTAATTTTACATTTAAATTGGTAAGCATAAGGCTATTAGCATGGCTATTTCGAAATATATGTTGTTGGCATAGGCTATTTTTTATTTTCACGATTTTGTTGGAATGCTTTCAGCTATTTGTAAAAAATTTCTTGTAATTTTTTTTTTTTATAATTTTGCAAACAAATCTAAACCATCTAACTGGTTTGGTTCGGGCTTGGTTTGTATTGTGGGTGATAAGAAATGGAAAGTTTTCAAGTCCGAGACATAGAGTGGTGACAAATACAAAAGAGTGTCGAACCATGCATGGAACTTTTATTGTTCCAAGTGATGACTGCACAATAGAACCTACAAGAGCTTTGGTTAATCCATCGAATCCCCAACGGTACATACCCCATAGCTTAAAGAATTTGCTCAAGGTTGGAAAGCACAATTTGAAGAAGATGTTGGACTGCAACGTTTTGTGCTCCATTAATAAACCAATCAACTTACCACCCACGAGTAATTAATTACTCTTCTCTTATATATCTATGTATTGATGTGTGATATGTATTATATATATATATATATATATGTATAGCTTTGTAACTTGTGAGATAATTATATTTATGAAAAATAGGGTGTGGGAAAATTTTTACTATTTTTACTAGTGGTGATGGAGGTTGGGATATCAGTCTGTTGCTTTTGTTCTCAGTCGATAATTTATGTTTTTGTTGTTGTTGTTGTTTCAAAAATATTGTAGCAATCAATGGCGTTTTGGTTTGATTGAAGGCAATCAGCAGTGGTTTGGTTTTCCATTACTGGACAACCTACCTAACCTAGCCATCTATGTCTTTTGGGAATAGAACAAGGGCATTTTGAAGGAAATCTAAAGAAGTTCTTGGTTCAATTTGCATCAACGAAACAAAAAACCAATAAACAAAAAAGTTATTGGTTACTTTTTAAAATAAATAAGAAAAATCCAATTTATCTCCTAATGGTTTAGCACCCCTTGTTTTTAGAGAGCCAATCATATCTTGTCATTTTGACTATTTTTTACTTTGGCGGTGTTTGGAAACTTGTTTTTTGGGGGTTTTTTTTTTTTTCATTACAAGACAAATGTTTTACAAAATAAAAAAAAAAAAAAAACAAATTCAAACAAAATATCACATCAAACCGTATAATCATTTCACTTTTTCTCTCACAAATATCGCATCTAACCACAAAAAAACCCAACTATCTTTCCAATCACAAAAAAAAATTTCTCCAATAATATCCTACAACTAAAAAAACCAACAAAAAAACCCACTTCCCAAACACTCACTTTATCTTCCTACCATTAGTAGTTCCATCTAAATTCTTCTCCAAAAATCATAACCTAACTTTCTTTTTTCCAAAAACCTAATTCTAATCCTAAAAAGACCAGAACCACCCTTGCTTTTTCCTTTGAAGTACAACAAATCATTCCACAACATTGGTTGCATCAATTTTCTTTGAAGGTGTTTGCACCACATTTTATTTTTCTATCGATTGTGGCTTATTAATTATGACCAAGTTCGATTATGATCTGTCGATTGAAATCATAAACTACTTTTAAAGAATAATCTTGACCACATTTATTTTTATTATTTCTGTCAACAGGCATGCTAACGTAGCATAATAAATGTGTTAAGGACGTAACATCATGACATATTAAATAGAGTGCCAGAAAGTTAGCAATTGAGCAATTTGAAAGTTAGTTGTTGAGATTAAGGAGCCAAAATTAAATCAAGCACCAAATCTGCAAAATGGTTCCTATCAAAGATGGGATATGTATCATGTTGAGGAAATCATGGGCTTGTTGAGGAAATCGTGAGCTTAGGTTATCTCTTTCTCTCATGTGGCTGAGCCTATAAATAGGCCAAGAGAAATACAAAGATCAATCAATGAATCATCAACAACCACCAATCACACTCGTAAAGAGTTATCTATGAGTAGTTCTAAGTTTGCCATTTTTGGAGTAGATTAAACTAGTAGCTTTTTTCAATCCCCACTTCTATTCTTTCTGTCAATTGTTGTATTTTTCATTTCTTTATTCGTGTTTGAATTCTTGTAACTGATAACAAGTGACAATTTGATTGAATAAACACATATTATTTCCTATTCAAATCCTGTTTTACTTAATTACCTCCAGGGAAATCCTTAATCTGTTTAAGTCATAGAACTCAACCATAAAACCTAATCTTTTTATGTTTATTAAAATTTGTATAAATCTGTCGATCAATCATTGTTGATTGGGCCTAAACTGAATTTTTACTAACATAAATTGGCACGCTTTGTGGGACCATTCTAACTTGGAGTGATGGCAATGAAGAAGCAGACTAACATGTATGAAATCATGTCCTCGAGTGGCATGTTTACATCTTGTGGACCCATAGATGCAAATTGCCAATGGAGTGGCAGTGTTCCCATGGATACAGATTATTTGTGGAGTGCCTCATATTCTGAAAATTGTCTGTGTTATAGTGGTAGTTCTACGTTTATTTCCAACATAATGGCATGACAAATGATGTGAAAAGAATGATTTGGTGTTATGGGGATGAAATTTACTGGTGTGAGAGTGAAATTTTAGTCCTAAGAGAAGAAATTAATCCTTTTTATAGGCGAAGATTTCAAATAATTTCATCATCTCCGTATTATTTGATGCAAAAGGATTTAAATTACTATGATAGAAAAATTCATCGACTTAAAGGCCAAATTTTTCTAATTGATGAAGAAATTCTATGTCGAAAGCAAAAATTAGAAGGCATAATGGCCAATGAAAAATTAAGATATGAAAATAATGTGACTCATGTGGTTAAGACACATATTTTTGAAGAGCCAATCATTCATGATGAGTCAAGGTATGTGGCTCGAATGGTTAGCACACCAACTCATGAAAATAATATTCATTTGGGAGGCATAATATTTTGCCAAACGTGACAAAAAGTGACAAACCATTAATGACTAAAAAAGAAGAACAATCCTTTCATAACAAAATGTTAAAAAAATTATCACAAAATGATGGTAAAAATTCACTTGGGAGGCATGATTTTAAGCAAATAAAGGCTGAAAATTATGAACTTGGGAGACTGTCATGACTCAAACCCGCCCCTAAGGGTTTAGCATCGTAACCGGCCAGTAATCCGTGATTACCAAAGGCCTACTTAACAGTAATAACAATTATATAATAGGAGAGGCTGGCGGAAGCCTGTAAATATTAAAACATAATGTCCAAAGAGCTATGAGGGCTTAAATGCACAAACAACTTATATATATATATATACACCAATACAGACATAAGTCCAAGTCCATATTCAATATATATGTAAAAACTGAAGTCCAAAACACGTCTAAGTACAAAATAAAAGACATGTTGGGGAATTAAATCCCAAAGCCAAAACAACTTAGGAAACATTCACTTGGGGTGGATTTAGACCACCCAAAACAGAGCCTCGACAATAACGATTTGGAACCTCGTGGTGAGGCACTGCAGGTTGGCTTGACAAAACGAAATTAGGCTAACGCCACTAACTTTGCTCCGGTACCTGACTACCTACGTATATATAGCAAACTGTGAGCTAAAGCCTAGTGAATAACGAATGTGTAAAGGGGTTAAGAATGAATGTCCTTTCAGTAATTAAAACAATCAATTGCATTTGTAGATCAGTTATTCAATCAGTGTCTCATATTTCATGTCATATCAGTCATTTAGAGATCATAGCAGTCATACGTG